ATATTTTTTGCATTTTACTAATGTGCAGTTTTTAAAGGCATTTCGGGATGTCTAGATCCCTGCCCTCTCCAAAATTACCGTCTCTCGTGTGCATACAGAAATATCAATTTTACAATGTCAACATTATGATTTTAAAACAAATAAAATATAGCTATAGGCACTGCATATCTTAAAGCATTGAGCTATGTACCGATTAAATTTTTCCGGCACAAAATTTGGTCTATATCTACTAATAATAATATTCACGGTAGAAAATGATAAGTAAACGTAATTAATTATTTTATTTTATAGACACTTGAATTTAATCGATAATATCGATTAGATTGATCTAGTTCATGTTAAAAGTAAGTAGCTACACGATAATGAATAATGATGTTGGCGACTATTGTTATATACGAACACCTATATAATGTCATAAATTAATTTACTGTCGGAACTAAATTCATTGAAAATTCAACATAATTTTATGATTTTTCCTTGGCATCTTCCCGCAGCATGTAGATCTTAACGGACATTCAACGCCGCCATCGCCAACGTTGCCTACTATTCTTTATCATCCGTCATATTTATGTGTGTTTCAGTTGCACTATTCCTAGATCTTTCGCCGTGATTGAGTTTTTTCCGTCTTGAACTTTGTCTAAGGGTCTTTCGCCTCTCGTTTCCGCTATTATTAGTATCTGTTTAATGGTTTGTCCATCCGCTATACACGTCTTAACCATTTGAGTCTTCTTCTTCTCATATAGGAGTGGCCGTTTGGTCTTCCGGAGAGTTTCTGTAGTTCGATATTATGCCTTTTTTCATATAACTCCATTTCTCGAATAGGCATATAGAGGATCATAGAATTTTAAAATTAAAAAAACTAAACGTTAGATGATCAATTATAATAATATCGAGAATGAAGTCGTTATTTTTCTGACAGCAGAACACAGAAATCCAATAATTTAAACTTATGTCAATAAAACTATTTTAATAAACTGCAACTGTATTATAATGTTGACGTAAATTATTAAATTTACGCGAATAATAGTTGTAATGAAGTCCGTTCATTAATTTTCTGTAACGGTATTATAATTTATAAATATATTATATAGGTATTAGGTAGTAACAGTTATAGCAATTTTATACTAGAAACGTAATAACGAATATTTTTATTTTAAACCAGTAAACTTGATACTATGATATAATGTTATGCTAGAACAAACTGACACACTTTATTTTAATATATTCAGCTACTTGCAAGCGTGAGGTTCCTAGAAAATAATAATGTTTACTTTTACACCGACGTCCGTGCTATAGAGTAATCTACTCTTATCATTATTAGGTGTGAACTGTAGTTGGAGGTGCCTATCTCTATTATTTATTTTTTATTGCCATTTTATTTATCCCTGCGCTAGAATATTATCGGATTTCTTTGGTTTGCACCAATACGCGTGGACGTATTGTTCCGGCTAATCACTAAAAAAAAAAAAAAAGAAGAAAGGAAAAAAAACAAGTTCTGAGAGTATCACCGAATTAACATTAATTGAAATTTGCGGTGCGTGGGAAGCAAATAATTATTTTATTTTTTATTTTTACGATAACGATTGCCGTAGGTTGGACGTATAACCAGTAGATAGGTTTATTATATTATATAAATAAATAAGCATGTAGGTGGATAGATAGATAGGTACCTGTATAGTTTTATTTTACAATAACTATATCGGTATGAAATAACTGTTATTTTATTTAAATTATATTATATCATACCGTATTATGGGACATTATGTTTCGTAATTGTAATCTTTTTAAGTAAGTGTGTATAATCGAAATGAGTTTTTTCCCCTGTTCCCGGTCTACTCTGGTATGAAAAGATATCAATATCTGACAATTATTATTGTACACCATAATACTTAGTAACACTATAACGGTACTACTTTTGTACATTTAATTATTTGCAATTAAGTAAAAGTTTAACTCAGACTTCAGTCATATGATAATACGGTATTATTACAAAAATGACTAGTACACGCCTACGCATTTAATATATCCACATATGACGAGAACATTATATGGGGTTTTTTTTTTCAATCACACTTTTTGATCTGTTTCAATCTGAAAAGTATACTGAACAAAAAAGAACAACTCCTATCATCACTGACTGGTCCAAATTTAATTGGCCAGCAGTATTTCCGATAGGATTATTTCAAGCCAGCAACGACTTCCGTGTTATTTTTTCAGAACGGTCGTCACTACGGCGACCGGCGTAATAAATTTACTGTCGTTTTGACGAACGTTCAGCGTTCCGCGGGCTTCAACTCAAAACCCGGACACTTTTGACGTTAGGCTTTGGGTATCTATCAATTATTCATATAAAAACAGCATATTTATTATTTATAATTAATAATTTCGTGTATTTATAAATAGACGAAAGCATAAGTGCGTAAGTTCTGATATATTCGTTTTTATTATTGTAAAAATAAAATATACAACTTCCGTAGCGGACCGACAAAATACCGTAAATACCTACGATTCAAAAAAATAAAAATCACGTTTAACATAGGCAGGTATTAATATAGTTTTTGGTGCATGCAATGCTGCTCGGAGATTTTTCAAAAACTAGTGCAATTAAAACGTGAATAAAAATTCTTCGGTTCACTAATCTTCAATTTCAAAATAGTTCCTTAAATCTGTTAAAACAAGCTTTTACTAAACAGCTTTCTGAATAAAGAAATTTAGATGGAATTCTTTAAAATCGTTTAAGTACATTCAGTAAATTTAAAATGGGTGTTTAAATTTGTATTTCATGAGAGACGACTATGAAGATTCTCTGAATTGGCTTAAAATTATTGTTGAACTAGTCAATATCCTTCAAAAACATTATGAAGAAACTGTAAAATTTCGATTAAATACGCAAAAAAAAAAAAACAAACTTTATGGATATTTATTCAGCATTGAAAAAGTCTACTGGTCATCACTAACCTCGTTAGTTGATGCACACATGTACATTTAACTTCCGTTTACATTAGTGCAATGAAATCAGTCAGTTTAATAACACAAAACCTTCGGGTATAATATATGCGTAGTAGGTACTATAAATAATCAATGATAATATCTATGCAATCTTTGTTACAATCTTCGGCTGAATACCTGAATAATGATTAATTTTAGATTTTAAATCCGACTTTGGTATTAATTTGAATGAAACTATTTTAGTCATTTAATTATTATTTCATAACAATGTGAAAGTATAAAATACTACTATAAGATACCTTCCTATAAATTAGCGATTGGCTGTAGCTAGTGGCGGCGTCGGCGTGAATCGGGTATCCTATATGAAACAGCTGTTTCGTGGTTAAAAATTAGGTAGGTGGATGCGTGTCAATGTAACACTTTATCAATAGATAATATGTTAACGAAAAAGGTGAAGTGCCGTTACTATAGGAACGTCTAGTATCCTTAGCTTCATGCAGCTATTGGTTTTACTGGGTTCGGCTCAAAATCGTTTTTAATAGGTTAGGTTAGGCAACCTGTATCTATAGGTACCTATACTTTAAATGTATTCTGTGAAATAGGTTTTTTAATTGAATAGATTAGATTTTCTAATTTTTTTTTTTTCTATTTGTAATATAATATAATGTATTGCAATTTGAATATCAAAAAGTGGTAGCTTAATCATACATTTAAGAGTGAACAACATAAGGGCGATGTAAAATTTAAGAATTGCATGTGTATCTGAAATTGTCAAAGTTAAGCTTCCCAAGTTCCGAGATAGCTATGCTTACGGGCAATGCCAAAAAGAAATTACGAGCATACATATTGAAAATGTATAATATTATAATATAATAGCTAGGTGATACAAGTGTAACTCGGTGAAACGGTTAGGTTTGACATATTATCTAACACAATATTTCGTTAAATTTATGTATAAAACGATAATGTTATTAATTAATTAATTAGGTAAAATAATAGTCGAACCTATTACCATTTACCATGGTTTGTTTCTGTTTAGGTAGGTACCCTATAGCACCTAGCCTACCTACCGTACATAATTTGTCCCAGTTCGAAAATCATCGGCCAAAAAAAAAAAAAAAAAAACCGGTTCGTTTAAAATTTAATCTTACGAAGATTAATTTTTTTATGTAGGGTTTTGAATCTCCTACGAATCAATTTAACTGCGCTCCGGTAAATGTAAGTTTTCCCACATCAAAATGCGTTCCCGATCCACCCCCTGATTATAAATCTCGTTTCTAAGTTTTCTTATTATACGAAGGGGGCTACTAATGTAATCAACTCGCCCTCCGATTATTGCGGCATTTGAAATTAAATTAGGTACCTAGTGCTCACTTATTAAACTCGAGTAATTAAATTTCAAAACAAAAATTTGGACTTGGTTGCGAGAGTTGCGTCTAATGAAATACGAACTCGGCCGCAGACAGGCCTATGGGGAAATCGGGATTGGTACCTGCCCGTACTTACAATTATGGGGCTTTTGCGCCTTGGTCTCAACACCCTTATTTTGTGTTTTATTATTTTATTATGAGTTTGTTCAACTATTATTTGTACGAGTTACCTATAACATATGACCTTTTCCTTTTTTTTTTTTTTGTACTCGTCGTATTTTTCCCAAAAATGTGAAACGGTATTTGGGCGGCGCGCCCTTTCATTTATTGAATTCGGTCCTATCCGCCGCCGCGCCGCTCGAACTAACCGAACTGTGTATTTTAGAAACGTATCAATTGAAATTCTATCTAAATTTAAGCTAGTCGGATAATAATAAAAAACAAAATAATAAATATACTATAGAGCTACATACGTCCACAGCCCTTATGCAAGTTCAAAGTTGAACGAACGACGGCGCGTCTCCAGGCACTTTTCGATTTATCGATTTCCCTGGTGTTATCACTACGGTAACCGGAAAAACGGCCACACTGCGCCCGGGTGTTTTGGCAACAGTGACCCACCGTGCGCGTGTGACTGAACGTCCGTTCGACCGGAACGAAACGTTTTACACGACCAGCGACCGATGGCCATAGCACCGCGGCCGCCAGTTGTCCAATTACCGTAGTACGGTGCCGCCGGTCGTTTCGTCACGTCGAATATTTCGCGTGTTTGTTGTGAAACATTCCACAGATGATAACGTACATCTGTGTACTTTCTACAACACAGTCGGTTTTGTTGTTATATCGGTTCGTGCGACAATAATAATAATAATAATAATTATAGCGCAATATTTTCGTGATTGTCCGTAGAATTGATTACGAAAATAAAACTCTCTTCGACGTTCTCCGGAGAGACAGTCGCGATATCGTAAAGTACTCGGCGGCGGTTCGGAGCGTATCGATCGATTTCAAACGGTTTTTGATCCAAGTATTATAATTAATAATATAACATCTGTTCGAACGGCACAATCGACTTTTCACTGTCAGGGACGATAATCGTTTGTCTGCAGTTGTCGACCTTTCGTAAACAAAGTAGGTAAGTATCAATTTCACGGGGTAAATAGCCGTATGATTTACATTTGAAATTCTATACGGCCTAGTCCGTCGTCTGTTCATTATAGTAGCTGATACATTATGACTAATCCAAACGAAACGGACAGCGAGGATTGGAAAGACAAGTATAGAGCGCTGGAAAAGGAATACGACGATTTCCGGGAACAATCGCAGTCTTTAGAACGCGAACTGGAAATGGACGTTGAAATGCTAGAGAAGAACAACAAGGAGCTCAAATCTAAAAATAATCAGTTACAATTTGATCTCGATACACTAAGGGTATGTATTCGGTTGGTAAAACAGTAATGTTATAGATGAAACTATGGTATTTAATTGTTATAAGTCAATTGCCAATGGTTCATTTTAATTGCCTTACTCTATCCGTAGACGAAAAACCGCGAAGAGCAGCAAAACCTAATGAACCAAATACACAGTTTACAAGAAGAAGCAATTCATTTTCATGAAAGAGAAACTAATTATGTAAAATATATCAGAGAATTGGAACAAAAAACTGAAGACCTAGAAAAGTTGCAAAGGTACGTTACTTAAGCTACTTACTTGGGTTTAAATCAATAATCTTTATTCTGTAATTATACTTCAAACATAATCCTAATTCAACTTTTTGTGGAAAATATTTGGAAATGCAAATGACTGAATTTTAAAACACTGACTGTTTCAATGTTCATATTTCTGTCTCTTACTTCATAATGCTTCAATATTCATGTCTATTATTTAATGTAATTTAATTGTTTTAAAAATAAAATATCAAGTTACAAGCAGTATGTCATAGGATTCTAATAATAATTATTTAATATAGTGTGACAAATTTCAGTGGTGTGTTAATACATTTTTTATTTTTCATTATCATGAATTATTTATATAACATATTAAATTACATGATATTTTGAACTAGTAAATTTCAAATAGGATACATTTATTGTTAGTGGGTATCGATTTAAAATAAATTATTTGATTTTTTTATCCATTGCCAGTTTTTAACATTTCACTGTGTATAAATAAACAAAACACATTTTATATAAAACATAACATCAAAGAGTTTTTGATTTACTATTTAATATTATATTTTACAAAACCAAATAGTAATATCGATATAAATTTGCAAGAACATTATTTTTCCACAAATCTATTTATTATAAAAGATTATATCCATGTTAAACTTATATTATTAAAATATTAAATAGTCGCTTGCAGTTATTATTATTATTTTTTTTGATTTGCTTTTAAATAGACAAACACTTTTCTTTTTTAAATTGTATAACAGTTCAACAAATTAATTTAATTATCTATTTTTTCTATGGTTATGAAAAATAAAAAGCAAGTAATTAATATTTAGTATTTTCGTGATTAGTTATGATAAAATAAATATTAAATTATGTATAATGTACCTATTATTTTGTTTATTTTAGTTTTTGTATTTGTTAATATATATTATTATAATTTCTAAAAACAATAGTTACAATTTAATGTTTTTTATCGTTTATTTGAATCATATTATATTAATTATACCCGTAAAATAAATATTCAAAATCAAATAAACTGTTTATTACTAATGTAGTAAACTTTTACTATTTGAATTTCGAGTCTTCTTTAAAATTTCAAAATAAAATAAATATTTTTTTTTAATATTATTACTATAGCATGTCCATTGTAATCAACGGAACTTTATGAATTAATGTTTCAGAGAGACATGTGCTTCTTTAGGTGATTTTGAAACTAAAATGAATGATGCAATTGAGCGAAATGCTCTCCTTGAAGTAGAACTTGATGAAAAAGAAAGTTTACAAGCAATGGTACAAAGGCTAAAAGATGAAATTAGTGGTAAGTCAATCAAAACTTATTTTATTTTTGTTAAATATGTATTGGACAGTTGTTATTTATAATTTTGGATTTGTGAAAACTCTTTGAAAATTCAAAAGGCTAATAGTTGATATTATGATATTCTATTGGCATTTGGTGTCATTGATTATTGTACAATTAAATTAAATTTGCCGTACAAAAACTTAAAGTATAGTGTATTATTAGAGTATCAATTTTAAAATATAAAACCTATAAAAATACTTTTATTCAATTGTACAGTAAATTGTATTGTTTTTACAATATGTATATAAAATAATTTTGATGTTAGATTATGACACAAAAGATTGCTACTAATAAACAAATAAATGAATCATTAAAATGCTTATTCATTGCGGATTGATATAATTTGTATCTATGAAATTGAATTGTACATATCAGTTATTGAAATTAAAAAATACATTTTTGATCACAATGAATGTCATTGTCTCGATGTTAACTCAAGGTGAAATTTACTATTACAAATTAAAGCGTTTTATTTAATAATGATGCATATCAAATACACTTCTTTTTTTTTTTTTTATTCGACAATAATATTGGTATTGTAGAATTAAAAATAGCTTATTTTTTATTTTATCGAATTTTGTAAACATCTAATTTAACTTTTTTTTTTCAAACTACTTATTCAATTGGTTAAATTATTCATTTTTATATCATAAATATTTAGAGCATCACTTCAGCAGAAACATCTTTATTGGCAAATTAAAAACATGTATTATTTTTAAACAATAAACAAATGCAAATGTATATTAGTAATATAAACAAGTTTATAGTAAGAGGTTAGATCATTAATAGTCAAATCAATTTTTGTTGCTTTTTTTTTTTTTTATTTAAATGATTTTCAAAAGATTTTATGATAGCAGTACCTCCCCCCTCAAGTTGGGGGTATAAATTTGCTGCTGTAACAACAACCTAATTACCAAATATGATTGTTCATCACACGTTTTAATTTTCAATTTGTACTGTTGATACTTGGCCATTCAAGCAAACACATAATATTATGTGTCGGACTCATTGTGTACCATTGAGTAATACTCAGTAATAGTGTAGTGGTTATTCAGTTATTTTATAATAATAAGTGATAACAATGTTCATACCTTAGCAAAACTACCACTGTTATCACATTAAATGAATTTTAACAATTATAAACAATCAACATAATCAACTAGTTTTAAAATTGAATAATAAACTATTTCAAGAAAAAATAACTTTTTAACAAAACTATTTATGTCTATTAACTGTCAATTGATTTGAGTTAATTTCTAAGTCAAAATGATTGGCTAAGTGCCTAATATGTTTAAAACCTTTACTTAATTTTATTTTTTCAGAACTTAAACAAGAAATTCAAAGTAAAGAGCGTAAATTAAATCCTGATATGAATGAGTCACAAGCTGCAGCTGCTGTGAGACGGTGTAGTAGTTTCAGGGCAGCAGTAGACAATAGACGATTGTCGTCTTCAACAGAAACTGCACCAAAAAGTCATACGAAAAGTAAATTAACTAATATTATTTATAATTTTCAATTATTTATTATCTAATTTATTTTTATTTATCTAGGCTTAAGTGGAACTGTATTTCATTCACCACCCGCCAAATTAGCAAGAGTTGGTGATATTGTTGGAGATCTGATGAGAAAAGTAAATGTAAGTTAATCGATGGTGGTTTTCGTGTAGTATGTGATCTACCATATTTAATATAATAACTGAATAAATATTAACAGTTGTCCTATACAAATTTAAGTAGTACAATTAAATGGGATATATGTGTATGTTAGGAAATAGTTAACAAAAAATGGATATAAAAAGATATGTGCGAAAACTAAAATGTTTAAATCAAGGTGCTTAACCTTGCTTAATCAAAACTACAGAGGTTTTATATTTCTATCAAGCAAAGCATAATTTCATATTTTATTATATTTAAATTTTAAAAAATTATGAAATTGTTGTTTATTGACAACAATTAATTAAGTAGTGTATAATTAATTTGATTTAATTGAAAATTTTAATATAATTTGTCTTTTTCGGCATGTTCACAACAAAATAATTTGAAAGCTTTACAGTTAGGTAGGGTTATTTATAAAACGATTCTTAGATTTTATTACAATTTAAGAGAACCCATTAAGCCCTTCCCATAGTTTTTCTATTTAATATGATATTCTTATCAAGGTTGTTAATGTTTCATATATGAGCTAGTAGCTATATTTAATATAATCAATCTATATAACATTTATAGTTCAAGTTTTTTTAGTACGCAATTAATCTTTTCACATTGACCTAGACTGGATTTTTTCACAAATACTTGGCCATTTAATCTATTTTGTTGTTTTTAATTAGTATTAATAAAATGAGGTCAATATTGTTTGATTAACATGGAAGCAGAAATATTAATCTCGTTTAGTTATCAATTTCAAATATGTGATGATTATATGTTTTTTTTTTTTTTTTATATATATATATAATTACATCATTACATTTTTGTAATTGATAACTATACTAAATTAATATTCTTGATACTACGTCTATCAAATTCATATTGACCTCTTTCTATGAATAGTAGTTACAAACAACCGAGTCATAGTCTTAAAACATGTTAATCAATAAAACTAAAAGGGCAAACAGTAAAATATAATTGTTTAATTTCCATTAATTGTATGGTAGATCTTATACAAGACGAAAGCCTCTTTTATTACTATTACTAACAGTTTTGAATGTTTGTTTTATTCACAGGTTCTTGAACTCAAATTGGTGGAAGCTAAACAACTGAATGTACCTAAAACGCAAAATTGTCCTTTCTAACAAAACGCTTTATGGCAGACCACACCAGTGGTTGGCCTTCTGTAGCTGAATTATGTATGCTATTCGTACTGCTGCCGAGAATCCTCATGTTTTATATGTATATTGCTCTCTGAAATGTATTATTCTATCGATCTATGGTGATCTTTATGTTCATGTCTCAATAAAAAAAAAAGTTATATTAATTAAATATTAGTCGTTCAGTTGCCTTAATGATACATTTGAAATTTTAATTTTTTACAACACAAATGTTTTACACGGTCGGTTTTTATTTATGATTTTTTATTTTATTATTATTTAATTATACATTTATATACATAATATAAGTACATAATAATTACTTTACAAGGAGACTTATGACAAAGTTTTATTTTTATACCTATTTTATTTACTTATAGATTAGTATAAAATAAGGCCTTATAACAACAAGACATGGACCCTTCTTTTGTAGAAAGTCAGACAATAATTGTGTTTGTACAAATCCTTACAATATCATGCACATACAAATATTTTTTTAAATCACATAAATTTGTTTCTGTATAGAACAATAATTATTACTATTGTATTAAAAAAATATATATATACCTAATATAAAAAAAAAAAAATATTGTACATATATATATGAATAATATATTAAAGAAAACCTGTATAAGTAAAAATGAAATTTAGAGTTTATAATTTTTGTTTCGTTTTTTGCTACATTTTTACAATTTATATGAAAATGTTGACTAGACTAAATCACTTAAGAATTAAAACGTTAAACAAATAAAAATTGTTTAAAAACGAAATACACCTGTGGAAATCATTCATTGCGGTGGTTTTATAATAATATATAGAGTACATCAATAATTGAAATCATCATTGAGACTTGAAAGAAATTTTAGTCGATAAATATGAATATTTTACCCGAATACGGTATGTACGGCGCTAATATTTCGAGTAAATATTGAACAGTTCGTTATATACATGTATAATATTCATTCTATGGACACGAATACAATATAAATACAAATTTTAAAAAACAAACATCGGCATTGAACCTTAACCGTAACAAAACGAATATTGTTCGTTTGAGATACTTATAAATAATGTTATAATTAATTTAGACTATAAAATTATTCTACGATAATATGTTAGTGTTCTCGTTAAATACATAGTATGATGAAAACAAAAAATTACATGTCGCTATACATATTATTTGTTTGAAACGTTATTTATTTTTTTTTTCATTAATTCTTCTTAATAATATTTTATTAGTGTTGTATTTATTTATCAAAACCTAGTCACGGGCCTTAGGAAGACGACAACGTTGTCGAGTCACTTATCGTCAAAAAGTAGAAAAAAAAAAAAAAGTATTTTTTACACGAAAATAATATTATCACAGACAAACACACTGAACATTTTTTTTTTTTTTTTTATGGCACCATCGAGAACGACACAATATTAGGTACGATTAATAAACGGTACTCTTGGGCGAGGGGAATACAAAAAATTCGTCATCATCGTCATCATCATCACAGTATCCACTCGAGGAAAGAACCGCCGAACCAGACGGCGACAACCGGTAACATGTACGCGGCCAACGCCCTCTGCAGCGTCGGTTTGGGCCTGTGGCCGGCGCTCGATCCCGTGCCCGTGGTGGTTGTCGGATCGACGCGGTTGTCGTCATCGGCTTTCTTGACGGCCGTGTTCGGCGGCGCGGCGGTCGCGGTCGCCGGCGTGGTGGTCGCCGACGACGGTGTCTGCGGCGTCTGCGCGCCGCCCTCGACAGCCACCGTCGCGGACGGCGGTTCAGAGTCCTCGTCGCCGGACCCGTCCCCGGACGACTGTATCGGACCGATGCCGCTGGACTCGCCCCCGTGGAACACTTCCTCCATGTCCCACTCGACGTCCAGCCCTTGGTACGCGTTTTTCAACAGGTTGGTGAGCGCCTTCAGGGCGAACACCTGTTCGTTGAGCAGGCTACTGGTACGCCCAAGGTCGACGGGCACCTCGGGGTTCCTCCTCTGGTTTTTGATACCGTCTCTCATCACCTCTTTCGTGTAACTGCGGAACAATAAAAACGCTGTCGTTAGGTGTATGCGGCAGAGCGCGGGCCTGTCCGATTAAAGAACCTTAAAACATCAAAACGGCTACGGGCAGAAAATCCGTGTCTATCTATCGAATCTATCAATCGAGGTCCGGACGTTTTACGGGACGTTTAACGTGTCGATTAGACCGTAATCGCCTATAGTCCCCGCCGGGCCCGGCGTCCGTAAACGGTTTACGAGCAAATAAAACAACGCCGTCCTATCGATCCGCGGGAACGGTAATTAGCGTTCGGGGATATTTCGGTAATTCGGCCGGCGACCGCGAGACCGCGGGCCCGCGCATAAAGCGCGCGTGACGACATATCAATCGCACGCGTCGTGCAAAAAAAAAAAAAAAAATAAAATAAAAAATAAAGATCATACCTAGCCAACGCCGACCCGTTCCAGCAGGTAGTGTTCTGTCCGGTCTCGATGACTGCCACCTCGTTGTTGCACACCTCGTACGGCAATCGCTTCCAGAAATTCTTGGTGGACGCCACGTGCGTGCCGATGTCCTTGAGCAACCTGTGGAATGCGAAAGCCGGACCTCCCTGGTCCTCTTCCTCGTCTTCGAGCCCGTCGCTCTTGTTGTTGTTCTTTTTCCGGTTCTTGTTGTTAGCGGCGCCGCCGCTGTTTCCTCCGTTCTTAGGCCCGTTATTGTTCTTGTTCTTCCTCTGCTTCTTCCGGTCGCCGTGTTCCGCATGTGGAACCACCCGATCTTTTTTCTCGTTCCTAACCACCGTCGGTTTCGAGTCGACGTATTCGTTGTCGTCGTCGTCTCCGTCGTCTTCTTCGTCGTCGCCGTCGTCGTCTTTGGCAGAAGCTTTCTTGTTTTTGCCATCGTTCATCACCTGTCCCTGTTGGTAATCATCGTAATCGCCGTCGTACACGTCTCGACGACGACGCCTACTACTAGTCGGTCCCAACTGGGGTTTACCGCAATTCGCGAATACCTGTGGAAACGCCACGAGTTAATCACCGTACACACGGGTATTTCAGCGAAAGACCGTCTGAAACGTCACTTTTAGAGGGGGTACATTTGTACCCTGCCGGGGAGGCACAAACGCAAAACGCCCACTTACCTTTTGCGAAACTTTCGGGGCGTTCTCTTGGAAATTCATTATGCCTTCGGATATCTTTACGTTGATCGGGATGACGACCAGCTCGATGTTGAACGGTCCCAACAGACGTTTCTTTACTTTTTCCATGATGTCTGCGGATAGAAATTAATACGATTTTCGTTTAGCAACGCAGTAGCAGCGGGCACACCGGCGACAGGCGTGTATACAACGGGATTTATCGGGAAAATCGCACTCACCCAAAAACGCGTTCCAATCCTGATCGAGTTGCGAATGATACGCTAGACATCCTTTCATCACGTTCAGACAGTATCCGTTACAGGCTTTGGAGTTTTGGAGTCCTTTGCAAGCCGGACACTGGGTCATCCGGGTGAAGCCGACCAAGCATTCCTGGGTGGGCATCATCTGAAAACGGATTTCGTTGACTTAAGTACGGGGGTTTACACCGTAGCGAGTATGTATACGGCGCACACGACGTTACTCTAGATTAGCTAATATTAGATTTTCGTCCCTCCCACCTACCGATAACGACGTGACGAAATCGTTATTATTATGCGTATCCGTGATACGACTATACGAACCTTGTTGATGTTGGTCAAAATATCGCCGGCCAATTTCAGTGCCTGCACGTACGTTCTGGAAGCGACGAACGATCTCTTCAGCGGCGCCGACAGTTTGTCGGGCACGTCTCCAAAAGGCGCCACCTCCGACATGCTCTCGCTGACGCACACCAAATACCTGCGCCGAACACAATCGCCATGTTAATACGTTATTGTAATATAAGTCGCTGGAGCTCAAACGGGAAAGGAAACTCGCCACAACACATTCGTCCGTCAAAATCATCTCTCAGAATCGGTGGCGCGACCAGTGGGATGGGATGGGATGGGAGGGGGAGGGGGTGTTTTGGATATCTGGACGCCTCGCTATATCCGCGTATAAGAAACATACGTTTATTTAAAATTGTTAAAAAAACGTATTATTTTCTTTTTAGGCACCTACCTAGACAAGTGTGTCCCCCGTTCGACAAATCCCGATTGTACCACCAGTCGGAATGTTGCACTTGTAAGGGCTTATCTGTGGTTTACGACGTATAATAAATCGTAAAAATTACGTTTTTTTTTTAAGAAAAAAAAAATAATAATAATAAATAATATTCTCGTTTAGGGGTGAAATATTATACCCCGGACGACACCGCCAACATGATATTTTGTTTTTGTATTCAAGATAAATCAAACTTAATAAAACGCGCAGGTCCCGCTCAAATTCAATATAATATTATTTAAGCGTTTGAAATTTGGGTACGGCGTGTAAACGATTTGTTCGCTTTTTATACTTGGCTTCTTTTTCGAAATTGTTTTCGGCCAAATATGAATAGCTTCGGGTCGTGTATCGATTGCCAACATTTGCTGGAAAAATGAAGATAATAAATAATATTTCGCGATCCAAAAATCGGCTTATACGCTCGAACGGACTTTAACGGAAGACGCGAGTGCCGCACGAATAACTCGGCGATTCTATGTATGGAAAACGCGATGGAAATCTCGGAAACTCAATATGTGAATTCAGCTGCGAAAAGAAGTCGCGTGCAATCGGATTTTTTTTTTTGGAAGGGGTCGAGGGAACGGGAAAAAGAACTTTTCGTGAGATTGTCTTTGACAAGCCATTCCGCCGTCTGTACATTTTATAGGAGGATCCCTCGAGAAACGTTCAAAGTATATAAAGTATAGAGAGTTAACGCGATATACGTGTTTAACACACGAACACCCGAAGTATAAGTTATACACGCACACGCACACTCACACAAACTACTACTACTACTACTACTACTACTACTACTACTAATTCGAATAAATATAAACGAAAAATCTGCTCACTTGGAGTCGAACGTATATTGGCTGTTCATAACGGTGAACATTTTCTGGCACAACACGGAGAAAAAGTTTTCCAACACTTCGATAATGTTCGTGTTGCCGGAGTCGTAATACTTTTCCAAGTCCCGGAACAAGTCCTGGAACAGGTACGAGTTTTGTTCGTACATCATCCCGTACGTTCTTTTGAACATGTCGTGAAAGCCCATTCTGGCCTTGTTCAGCATGTCCCTGAAGTATTCTGCAAGAGACACGAAACATATAATTCGTTATCGGCATAATGATTCCGTCGGTTGAGCCGCGCGAGCCAGACTTATCCTTGCTCAAAAGTGCACGTGCACAATATAATATATGTACTCGGGATAATCAACACAACGTAAGGACGCTCATTGTATCGGAAAATGTTATCTTTTTTTCGGAATTTGTAGCTCTAAAATGTTGTACGTTTTCGTTAGTTGTCGCCCTTATTTTAGGCAATGCAACGACGGCAGATTTTTCGATTTTCAAACAGCGGTCTACATTAAAGATTTCATAAATAGACGAAGTTTTAGTTTAAACAAATTTTAATGTTAAAACTTATAATTTCGGTCAACCCGCGCGTTGACGAGCGGGGATGGATCCAGTTTTTTTTTTTTTTTATAATTCTATAGACCCCGACTTGACTATATCCCAATCACAGATATTTATGATAATATAGTATATTATATTGTAAACTGTATTTGCGTTGTAAAAAATTGTCACCCCCCCCCCCCCCCGGATCTTTGTTCTGGATCCGTGTCTGTTGACGAAATATTCCATTTTTAAGTTTGCCGTTTTGCCGGTAGTGAGAAACTACAGTGGATCAATATTTAAACGCCGCCCTACTACGCAAATTATGCCCCACTACATTCATCCTATCCGAACTTTAAAGTGGAATATCTCGTCAATATGATAATCAAAACCCGGTAGTGGTTTCACCACCAAAAATACCGGTAATGTAACCGAACAGAGTTGCTATAGTATATTAAATGTTCTAAAACACAAACTCCGAAAAAAGTTAACATTTTACGAGTCGTAATGAATAATATTATGAATAATGTATTGTATATTATGTAATGTATTATGAAAAAAATTTCAATTTTATTTGTATAATAATACAAACACCTTCGGTCAAAAGAAAAAAGGTCGAATTCATAAAAAAAAAAAAAAGTTTAAAAAATGGGAAAAATGACGGAAATTATAGTACAATTTTTGTTGAAAAAAATTAGCCGCACAAGAAAATTATACGCAAAAAAAAAAAAAAAAAAAAGTGCGAACAATCGACTCGGTCCTTCCTCCTTGGGACAAAAGATGTCTTGTAAATAAACTATAACGACACACGGCACGATAAATTCGTACAGATTTGTTTGTGGTTATAACGGTACGTTCCGTCGAGCAATGTATAACTTCTATACCGTATAAACTCGAAATATAGTAGGTATAATTTTATCTAAATAAATATCGTTATTATCAATCATTATATTTCAAATATTTATAATTTGCATAAAAAACGATCGTCTTACCGTCGAATTTCGTAGCTTTCTCTTTGTACATGACGCTCAGGGTGTTCAGCGAAGTCTGCAGTTTGTCGTCGTACAGATCCCGGCCCACCGTCACCAGCTGCGGTTCGGAATTTTCGCCGCAGCACGTTTCTTGCGATTTTCCGTTTCCGCATACTTGCAGGGGAACGCCTGTTCGACAAAAGAAAAGCGCGTTAGAAAAAAAAAAAAAAAAAAAAATAAAATCAACAAAAATGTCAACGAGATAATATTGTAACATTATGGGTAGGCGGTGTTCGCGCGCATTTTGCGAAACACGGATCGCGTGGATAACATTGAGCTCATCGCGTATTTTGTCGTCCTCGTTGCGTTCGCGCGATCGCGTATCGCGCCGCGTGCGTTTTTCGATCATCCGTAGACTCGTGTAAACAACGGCTGGGGCCTGCATTTGCGGAAAAAACCCGCCGATATTATTACCGATTAAAACCGCGGGCCCCGCGTTTGTTGTTCAATAT